GATCGTTGAAAATGTTACTCTCTTTCATGTGATATTTATAAGGCAAATGTCTTCCCATTCCGTACGTGGAATGTTTATGTTCTTATTTTAGTAGATATTTATCTAGCTGGAAATGCTATGACAATATGTATTCGTTTCTTACTTGCAGTAATGTTTGTTCTGATCACGTTTGGGAGCTTAATTATACTGCTTAAAACAGATAGAAGAATTATAAGGTTCTATATAGTGGTATTACTTTTTACGGTGCTAACAAGCGGAACGATGACCAACAAACATGATTGAAATTTTTCTGGAACTAATGTTTCTATTGATCTTTTATATTTATTTTCTTCCAAGGAAACTATATTTTTATTCAGCTCACGAACGGGATACCCCGCCAAAAAACCCTCTAACTTTTCACAGTATATAAGGTCACCAAAGGAGCTTAGATATAATTGTTACGCATACGTTTTTGTAGTACAATTGTGCTGGAAACCCTTTGCATGATTTTATGTCACTAATTGAGGATAACCCTAAAATGCTATTAATAGATACAGATATGTACGATTTTGCATACATAAACACGACTGTAGCTGCGAGATTATCAAGCCACATGCGCATTATTACCCGTTCATACTTATTGTAAATAATCTCAGGTTCGGGTGATCGCAAGCGATCCTGAAGGAAAGGAAGACTACTTCTGCAGTGGGACGCTGATTTCCCCAAAATTGATCGTCATCGCGGCTCACTGTTTCATAGATAACGGCTTAGTTGTTAATTCAGGACAGCCAATGCCTGCAGTGCTATCCAAGAACAGAACGCTTTTCGCTTATTTGGGCAGTCATCGCAGCAGTGGGGATCATGGAAATGTTGAGAAATACCTGATTGAAACGATGTTCGTTAATTTCTACTATGATACTTTTAAAATATCTAAAGGACATGACATGGCTTTACTGCAATTAGCGAAACCTGCAGATTTGAGTGAGTTTAAATTTATGGCAGCTAGTTTTCGGTGATTATTGTTTGGCTTCCTCTACTTTTCATACTAATCATATATGTGGATGTATTTTTATGACCCAGTAAGTGGAGATGAAAATATTAACCAAAACTTTATTTCCTCGCAAAAGTATTGCAGAAATGCGTAACGCGTGGCAAATAGCCGGCTTCTCTCCTTCGAATGCCCACACTACTTTCCGAATTTACGGATGAAGGCAGCTGTCTTAGTGCGAATAAGTTTAGAAGCTTCACTGAAGTTAGCATGTCATTGTAGGGTTTATCAAATCCGGGTATATTACTTTTCTTCTGATCATGGTTCTCGAGGTCTGTAACTATGAGCAGTTAAAATATATTTTCTTTGGATACTGTATTCCCAATCACAATGTGCATTGGATGTCTTTTAAACATTTTAGTCATCATATAGTAGGTAATACCACGCTTATTCCAGATAATGTAAACAATAAAACAAGAATTATTTGGCATGTTGATACGACTTGCAATGTACCACAGGAAAACCGTACCGCCCCGTTAAGCGATCAAGGTGGTACAATTTGGGTAGTCACGAAATCGGTTCCCACTCTGCCAAATGTGAGGAAAACGCTTTGTCCAAACAGGCACCGAAGCATATGTGAGCACCATTTGTGATTAGCACTATTTTCTGTGCAAATAATTCTTCTACTTCTCAAATGTACATGCGAAGACCGACCCATATGCGAACATTAGCTGCCTTTATCAATTCAATCTGACAGATAACCCTTATAACGGGAAATTATGTATTTTATGCAAGAGGTTCAACGGAAAAATAATAACCTGGCAAGAAGGAACTACATTTCGCTGGGACAATCCTAAGGCAGATAGCTTAGGTATCCTCAAGTGCAACTTCAGGTGAGACTAGAACGATAGAATAATCCTGTGAAAGTTCCAAATTAACTAGATCTTTGAGCCAATAGTTAATGAAATATTTGAGTTCTTGTATGATCTAACATAACCGCATCGTCCCCTTTCCAAACAGTTAATAAACACGTTGCCTGCCTAGGCAGTCCCTGCATTAGCAGTTACGTTAAGTAAGCAAATGATAGGAAGAGCACTCAAAGGTAAAAAATAAGTAGGTGTAAAGAAATAAGAAAATAATATCAATGCATGGCAAACAATAGCGAAAAGAATAGCATGCTCTGTTAACAAACACTCCGTGAAAATGGCGTTGCTTTAAAAGGAAACAACATTCAACGTCATAGTTTTAAAACAGTCAAATGATATTACCAAAACGCTGGATTGCTCCTCACAAACTCGGTCTGTCTGTAAATATTGGGTATCAGCCACCGAATGGCTGAAGCTTCAGCAAACTGTAGCAGGCGGCAATTGTGCTGTTTGATAATTACCCGGAACGATCCGTGTGGAATTAGGCAAATGGGGCAGACAGTACTTGTTTGGCAATTGAGCTTGCCGGCAGCTTGAGAACATTTGCGTCACCTTAGGTAGGCTGAAATAATAGTATTCAGTCAATTAGGATTTCCGAGCACCTATGTAATATACTTGGTGAGGTTCCAATTTTCACAAAATTTTTTTTAAAATGACTCCAAATTCATTACGCAAACACAGAAGACTACGTGTAACGCAGTCAATGATACTTAGTTTGTTGCAAACATGTCATTCATATTGGCTAAATAATATTGTAATCTATATACCTTAGCCCAAACCTACTGTTATGTTGCTAAATAACTCAATTAAGCCTGGTTTATCCAGGACCATGTTGTGTAACGCAACTACACTGTTACCTATCTACGTTGCAGATAAGGAGATTAACTACGCCTGCATAGCAACACAGCCTATTGAATTTGAACACAACACCCAATGCTACGCTGTTGGTTGGGGTCAGATGCCGAGCAGCTTTGAAAGCAATACGGAAATCAAGTCATTCGACATCTCCCACGGTCCGTTTAACTCAGATGACACAGACGCCGATTACGGGCTTTCGTCTAAATTCAACAAGTCGGAGCCAGTTGAACTTCAGGAGATCGTTCTGCCATTAATGAGTGCAAGCAAATGTCTTAAGTACTATCCAAAACATCGAAAGGAATCTCAACTTTGCGCAGGTTGGAAGTTGAAGGTAAGCAACGTTTGACATATTTTAAGACAGGGATGTAGCAAACTTAAACAAAAATACTTAAAGTGTAAGAGCTTATGTTACCTTCCATAGATGAATTGGGTCTTCATTCCTTAATACCAATTAACGAACTCTTTCCTGACATTTCTGAATCGGGCATTCCATCTCCGTAGTGAGCTAACACAAGGATTGACCTTCGAAAATTAAACCTAATGACGAACGCACGTCGATCACGTAGCTCCTGAAGGCCTAGTGAATAGGGCCAATTTCTAGTTAACATGCTAATTTTACCCTTGCAAGTTTTACTATTAAATATCTGCAACCGTTTTAGTAGCAGTGTTTGCTAAGAGCTACTTTATTAAGTTATCTGACAATAAATGATCCCGCAAACCTATACATGACAACAGGCTATTGACGGTTTATCCCCTGAGATGGGCACTAAATATGTGGTCCCATTGCACAACTACAACTTGAAACCTTGTCTGACTCCTTTAAACGGAAAACGCAAAACAGTAGCTGTCGTTTAAACAAACCATCCTACATGCAATGACGGCGTAGTGATCAACGTGTACTGTTTCTGTTGCCTGATCCGAGATGCGAAGTATTGCGAGAGGACAGTATTTGGAAATGAGCTTCAGCCTTGATTTCCGAGTGGTGCCTTATGAAGATCGCTAAAATGCCTCAATTATACTACCCTCATTCCGTCGAGTGTGGGTTGACCACACACCAAATATGACATCTGGCGATTATGCCATGTTGAAGCCAATGCACCGTATGCGCATGTCATTATACAATATTATTATCAGATATTATGCGAAGGTTATAGGCGACAGATTCATCCTTGTTAGACAATCAGCCAGATTCACACGTCTCCGCTATCATAAACAGCCGCATCTCTGTTATATACATTGTAAAATAATAATTGTCAATTATTCCTGCATGGTTCCATTCCCTTTAGTACAGATATGCCGATAAGATACTCAAAATTTGGCAGCATACCCAAAACTTACATATCTCAGTACCCTATAACGACCTTGTTGCGTTTAGTGGAAAATGATGTTATGCAAACAAGAATTTAACTCAGTTCAAGTTTAAGTTCGAGTAGGACTAGAAATATACGAAAATCCTGTGTGTGTTCCATCTTGAGTGCATTTGTGAGCTGAGAATTGAAGAAGTGCTCAGAGTTCTTGATTGATCTAAATCGGATAACCCGTTGCGCACCCGGGCCAACCAGTTAATGCCTATGTTTACTGCCCTAGTAGTCCCTGAAGTGGCAGTTACAACAAGTAAAAATAAAAGGAATAGAACTCGAAGATAGAAAATAACCTAGTGTACTTAAAAAAGCAATAGTAATGAGAAATGTAGAGATTACGCTATGCTTAGCTGTTAACAATTACAACAGCCGTCATACATCTCACAGGATGGTGGTTGTAATCAGTTTACTATGTAAACAATTAGGACAGGCGAAATCATTTACAGATCACGTAAAGAAATATACAGTTTATGCTTATGTAATATCCTTAAAGCAATATCTAATCAAATTACTGACGATGAATACAATCGTCATTATGGAACTCCAGCTTTTCAGAAAAGGTAACACGAGCTGAATATCAGGCTGCACTGGCCTGTGTAAACATTATATTGTTATGTGCACAGATTTGTGGAAGAAAAGGCAAATCAACGCAAAAACAATATATGGATTTTACGTACAATAACTTGTATTATGGAATACAAATTCAACCAACCTTTCGGAAGTTCCAGAAGACAAATAAGGATGAGAGATAGTAGTTATGATCTCATAGTGGTACTTCCTTCTTTGGTTCCTATGAAAAATATGTTACACAAGGACATTCGGAAATTAGAGCAAAATAGTAGGTTTATTGCCAACAAAAACGAACCCATGTGCATTGTTTAATATCCAGTCCAAAGCATGTCATTTCTCTGAACTGGGCAGTATTGTTGCATCAGTTTCGACACCAATCGAGGTGACATCATCAGTTCGTAGTTGAGTGGCGTGCAATAGCGTAGAGTAGCTTAGAGGAGCCTCGTTGAGAGAGCACTGTCACCGAGGCTCCACTAAGCTACTCTACGCTATTGCACGCCACTCAACTACGCACGGATGATGTCACCTTGATTGGTGACGAAACGTTTACAACACAATTGCCAAGCACAGCGAACAGTTTAACAGCCATCTGAACAATCTGAGCTAGCAGTCTTCATTGCTATAGCCTTGTGATTTCTCAATTAAAATTAAAGTCGTATTGCTAACTATTCATTACTTCTTCTTCGTCACTTTCCCTCTAGGATTCGTGTGAACGAGACTGCAGAAGTGGACTATATTGCAAGATACCGTACACAAATAAGTGGCTGCTAGCGGGTGTGAGAAACTACGGCACAGAAACTGAGTGCAAACCGGGTACTGGAATATACACATCGGCACTTACAAGAAATGAATGGTTATTTTCAACGGCGGATAGATTTGCTCGTTATATGTCGCTCCACAATGGGTAGCGGATGGTGCCAGTTTCCAGTTATCGGCCAATTTTACGCGTTCAGCTTTTACCATCATATTTTTGCAAATGTATTAGTAACAGTGTTTCGTAGAAGCTACTTAATCCAGCTAACTGACAAAAATTGATCTGGCAAACGTATACATGTCAACATGTTTTTGGCGGTCCATCCTTTGAAATGGGCACAAATATCTTGTCCTATTAACAAATACACATTGAAAAAAATGCCTGATTTCTTAAGATAGAAAACACAAATCAGTATACATCGTTCGATCAAACAATCGCTAACTGCAGCTTGCTTATTAATGTTGCAACATGCAGTTGTTTTATTTACATAATAACACACTTTGATTTATTCCCTTTGTAATTTCCAAATTGCATGATTATCCTATTGTTAATTACATACTCCTTTGTTGTGAAACAACAAAGTATATAAAGAAGTAAAACTTAAACGTAACTTATAAATGCGTTAACCGCAACCTTCAAAAGAATACGGTATTGGACCGCCTGCTTGCGCTTTGTGACGACTGACACTACTAATTCTGAAAAGCAAAAGAATGAGAAAATTTTATGTAGAAATTTGATAAATATTTATGACTGCTGATCTATTCAGTAAGTAAGTTTGAAGCAGCAAAATGAACAAGCGCTTGTGCCTAGAGCGTTTCATTCTCGTAAATCAATGAACAACATGCCATAATGATTCGCAAGTAATAAACTCATTATTATCAATCCTGTTGAATGGTTAGTTTGCAAATAACCGTTTCTGGAGATGTGTGGGTCATCGGCTTAAACAATAGCCATAATAATGCACACAAGCGAGTGTTTCGAAACTATACACCAAATGTTGGCGAATCAAAGTTTGTGCGGCGAGGTTGTAGTTCCCGACAATTGTTATAAAAATGGATCGCTCACTCATGTCGTGCAGCCTTCCAGGTAAAACCAGCATGGGCCACAATTGTTCTAAATAGTGTATTATTGCTGACGCCATTTAGCATGCTAGACAACGAAGCTTCTTTTCAACGCACACTGCTTGCTCGTGCGTATGCAGCTTGCGTTAATCTCAAATTAAAAGTTTGAGTGTTGCCCACTTATGTGGCCCAAATATATGAGTGAATAAGTAACTGGAAATTCTATTGCTTCTACTGATCTCAGCAAGAAAAGTACTCCCTTAAAATTTAAAGCTTATTAAGTGTAATATTTAGCAGTAAATATTTAGCTATTGATTGCCTGTAATTTTCGAATAAAAGTTATCGATGCTGTTCCATTGCTGCCATTGAAAAACTTTGCATTGCAATGTTTGTTGGCAAACAGTACTAGCAATAGTGGCATTAGCCTAACGCAGCCTGATACGCAATCAGATGTCAAGTTAAGTCAATTCCAGTTAACCTCTATGTACAGAGCTGGGTGCCGTTTCTGCACTTTATAGTATTACCTGCGGATAAAAGTACATGATGTCTCTTTGGATGCAAACTTTATTCATAGCGAAAGAACAGAACATTGTGTAATAATGTCATGCGAGTTAAGGGTGGTAGATACTTGAGGCCGGAAAGCAAACTGACAAACATCATCCTCGGGGTATTTTCCAACTGTCAGATAATAGCTCGAGGAGACATTTATTCAAGACTGGTTTCGGCTTGCCCAATGTTTCGGGAAAAGATTAACAATTGGCTATGTGTGCGCGGTTTACAAACAAAGAAGATATGAGGGTTAAACGGTTTTAGAGAAGTTGAAAATACATTGGACAAACTGTTGTCAAGGTATTATTAGAATATTTATATATTAGCAGTAAAGAATGTAAGAGGGATGTTCAATAAAAGGACAACGACGGATGTATAGGCCTCGATAGTTACTCCAGCCAATTAACCGACAGCCTATTTGTAGACCATTTCGGATGTTCGGAGTAAGTGCCACCGGTCAGTGTCATTGACTGAAAATTCAAATCACTTAATACAACATAAAATACCATTCGTTGTTAGGTAATGTCACTTGAGAAGCTACCTGCAGTAAGTTAGTGGAATAAAAGTAGTCTAAATAACTGTAAATGGATTTGCGTAAGGATTAACATATATATTTTCACTAACGATTACATAAGATTTTCACAGATTTGATTGCGTTCACATTCAATATGTTCACCATCAAACGTTGTTTTATCAGCAGGAAGCGCAGAATCGATATAATGGTTTAACTACGTTTACCGCATTCAGAAGAAATGCGGTCGGGTTATACGACTCGTTATCTGGCGTTCCGCATTAAAGTCCATGTGCATAAGAGAAGATAGTCAGAACTTTGATGATAGTTATCTATTTTAGAAATGCATAAAGAAAATCCGTAATACACTAAAATGCAATGTTGAGTACATATAACGGCCGTAAGGAAAAATAAAATGACGTAGGGTAGCGGGCTATTCGCTAGACGTAGATAGGGTATTTTGTGGCGTGATTCAAGCGGCCTAAATATAGTCGCTCAGTTGTATGCACTAGTGTTTTGTTTCAAATTGACTGGAAATTTTGCATAACATTGCGTAATTGTAGTGATTACATTACGAATCACAAATAATAGATAAATGCATTCGGCTTAAGACATCATGTATTGGAATCCGCAGTCTCTATATCTTGATTCCACTTTGTTGGTAAGCAAAGGTCCAAATTTATCGAGCTAGTACGAGCTGAATATGGTTAGTGTGGTTGGCCTTACTGCTAAGGTGAAGGTGGCGTCACTCTATGTTAGCCTGCTGGAATTCACCTAATTTCCCCAGATAATCATGCTCCAGACGTCATGGGTGTATAACGCGAATAAGATCAGCTGCTGTTTACACCTCAGACTGGACGAAGCCATACAAGGTCTTGATGACAGCAGAGCAAAACGTATAATGCATATGCATAGATACAAATGGAAGTTTCACAGTATTCATTGTAGTTAAGTAATGATAAGTAATGCAGAGCTTATCTTGAATCCGCTTTTTATTTAAAAGCTAAAAGATAATAAACGATTTCCTTTCAATAAAATATATCCATTACATTAACTGTTTGATGGAACTTGGCCAGTGATGTAATTCTAGAAAACAGATCGATCAAACAGCTATTCCGCCACTGGCGGTTACGGATTTGATCTCAGTAATAGAACGAGTAAATGCGCACCACTGACGAACACCAATTGGGCGAAATGCTTTGGTGCTTTTCCGGAATAGGCTGGCGTATATATGTTGGAGCTATCGGGAAGAAACACCGTAAAATCATTCGTATTTTTCAGACACTTAGTGTCATCCATTTAAAAGCCACAATCATGATTCAGGTCATGCAGTTTGTCGTGGTAACCCAAATGTAGGGATTGGTCAAGCTTCATAGAGTAAACTATTGTCCATACTTCTTTCGTCCTTCAACTAAGAATATCTTTGTCCATATGGACTTTTTCATCGTTCGCAGCGGTCAGTATTTGAATGTTATAATGTTACCTGGGCAGCACGATATATAACGCAAAACAAACAATGATTTATCGTGGGTAAACATGCATGTGCTTGGCAAGTCGCGTAGGATGGTTAGAGTAAAAATTAAAATCTGATCGATCATCGAATATGTAAATGGTTATTTCAAGCTTCCATTGAGTAAGATTCACTACTGCGTAACAACCGTTTGCAATGGGAATGGGATGTGCACAAGCAAATTAGTGTGGATAGATGTTATAAATCAACAAGTGCTTGAGAAATACATAAAAATGAAACGACAACGTCCACTCGTTTGTTACTTCATTTTACAGATGTCCCGTAGTATTCCCGTTAAGCTCCATCCAGTCTAATCACATGGACACTTATGCATGCATCCTCGCCGCCACGTTGCGGAGAGGGCCTTTGTGCCACCAGTTAGGCTTGCGTTATTTCGTCTCCCAAGTGGAACTAACCAACTCAACTAATGCAAGCTTAGAAGCGTTTCATCAAGGCGTTTATGGAAAATCGTTAATGTATGGACAAGGATAAGGTGAGTCGGAAGGGCACCCCAGGCACGGGAGACACAGAGGGAGAAAACGTTGCATTGACAATCAAGCAGACTGTAGTACGTATCCGGTTTCAACTGATGGCCTCTCATATTGGTAGTTAGGCTCTGCCGCAACAGATTGCGAAATGGGTGAGTTGGGTTCGTCAAGACTGAGTAAACCATGATTACGTCTCCTCGCTGACGTCGATAAGCAACACTGTACAATCTCAGTGACTGCTGTCTGCGTTGGTAGGAGAGATAAAACAATCTGCTAACGAGTTTGGTCGCTCTACATTGGGGGGTTTCAAGCGCATCGAGGTCGCGTCTGCACAAGGGACACCAGGCCTGGTTCGCATATTCCACGTGTGGCCTTACGTAAGCGTTCAAGATTTGCGGAAAGGTTGACGGCTCAAACTTGTAAAAGGCCATTTGTAAGAGTCCAAGATATTGTCTGGCTGTTTCTGATGATTTTTCTGCCTGTTTTGTGCAACTGAGCTCGCCCTGCACGATGACCTTAATGCATTTACCTGAGAAGCACGTTGTAACTGCTGGTCCCCAAGTCGATATACATAGCTAAGCATAAGCCATATCGGGATCGCCCTTTAACTTCATGTGATCATCCGATATCCTGTTATCATGCTGGCTTTTGACATCATCTGCAAATAGCGAAAGATTTGAAGGCCGTACACTGGCAAGATCGTTGCTAAATGGTAGAAGAAGACTTCACCCCAGTACCAATCCTTGAGACACGCCACACTGGACGTCAGTTTGGTCGGAAATGGAGCTGCCGACTCTCACATGCAGCTGAGGTTGAGAAAGGAAGTTGCCGATCCAACAGAGTGTAGGGTCACCGGTTCTATAGCTTCGAAGTTTGTGAAGGGAAAGCGGTAATCCAAACCATCGACTGCTTTCAAGTATTCAAGGTAAACAACGTCGATTCCCAAACTGGCATTAGTTGTCTTTGTCTAGCTTGCTCGGGCTAGCAGCAGATTCGTAGTGCAGGTTCGATTTCGGCGAAATCCGTGTTGCTGTG